AGCTGAAACAAGTGCATTAGTACATTAGCAATGCATTAGCTGTCACTAACATTGTGTAAAGAGACTTCTTTTGAACATCAGGCTTCCCTAGAACTGATCCCAGCTAACACTTGCAGCTCTCACTTCCTGTATTTTGTGTTAGTACAATTCTCACGCCGATAACCAGAACGTGCAGCCCCCAAACATTGGTTTGAGGCCATTCGGCAGGTGCAGACGTAGATGGCTCGCATGTTTCCTGAAACTGACACTAAAGGCATTGTATTCCCTAATCAGTCTGAGTAGCCGTGTGCTGCGCTTAAGGACACCTGCTTGACATGCAGTGATGACTTTGAGATGACACTCTGATAGCATTTACAGCCGTGCCCTTTTCTCTCGTGCCATGTAGGCTCTGTAAGTTGATATTTGCGCAGGTCATGCCCCAAGGCACCTTTGTAACACCCTCCACATGGGCCTTCATGACTTTCTTTCCTCTGTTTGTTTAACTCTCATTTTTGATTTAAAGAACCGCCTGGAGCGGTAAACAATGAGAGTCGTTCTTCAGTAGTGGAAAGCGTATTGTTCAAAATGTGCTTCACATGATCTTATACAGGTTAGGTAGGTTTTATCTGTTTAATTCCTCGAAGTAAGCTTAACTGTTGTTTCCTAGCAAAGTAAAAACAAACAAAATGTATAATAATACAGAATAATATGTTGGATTATGGGCTATGGCGAATAATATGTTGAACATTCAGCTTTGCCATCACTGGAATAAATACAAATATAAAGAATAAATAAATAAATACATGAAACATTGGTGAGAATTAGAGACTTTTTTTTCAAATTGATTAAAAAAATAATTATTCCAAACTTTTCACATTTGACACATTTTGACTTGTATATTTTGGTAGACATTTTTGGCTCACCACAAGGACTGTTCTAGAAAAATATGCTGTCTACCACACATTAACAGGATATCCGGGTCGCATTTGATGTCACCTCTGCTCACACACTGCAGAAATCTGACATGGTGTGATTCACATCTTTTTCACAGCAGGTGATTTACTTCCTGAAACATGGAGGTAAATGATGCATCTGCAGCTGAAGATATTTATTACAGATTCTTTTTTAAAAACAAGCATTTCTATTGATGCATAAAACCCTGTGTGGTTTTTCAATCTAACCGATCGGAGTTTATTTTTTTACCTTTATCGATGATGTATCTCAGGGAGGCGGGTTACTCGTGCTGTGGGTCAGCTCTTTAAAGGACAGTAGATACTGCGAGCTGAGAGAATCGACAGGAGAGATCCCACACATTACCCACCCACTCTTATAATGCCTTTTATTCCAATTACAACTCCCACAGTCATGAGTGCTCACTGTCACATACACTCTTACACACTTTCTTCAGCAGAAACCATGAAAACACCCACAGACACACTTCTTTACTCTCTGATTTTTACTATAAATTAAAACTCATTCTTATATTTGCATTCAAAATTATGATGCATGATGGCCTTAGCTTGGATTGCTCTGGTCTAGGATGTTGAGTAGATGTATGTGCAGTAACACACACAATATGTCTGAATGAGACCATCAGGAGCAGAACGAACATTCAAACTGGTCTCCATTGTGTTTCCCCATTGTTCCAAAAGGCCACTTTCTCTGCTTTGGATGTGAGGAAGGGAGGGAGGAAGATATATTTAGAAGCTTACAGTCCTCTGGTCACAAATACAGGAATTCCTGAGAGATTTTGATTCTGTGCACCAAGGGATTTTAGTCAGTTGGATAAGAATAAGGATGCCACAAAAATCTACTTTGTGTCTTAAATCCCTTGGTGCACACTGCACAGAACCAAAATCTCTCAGGAATTCCTGTATTTGTGACCAGAGGTGTCTTTGTGACCGACTTTATGTCTTAAATTGTCGACATTGATAGAGAAGATCAGATCTTCGCATTGGTTGATTTGGTGGATGGGATCATATTTCACCCCAAGTCTAAATAAAATGAAATTTGGTGTATATTTTGCATAAATAAAATATTTAATATATGAAATAAATATATTGTGTATGAAACATTTCAAATATAAAATATGCTTAAAGCTGAAGTATGGTTTTTTTTAATATAAATTTGAGACTGGACTTTCTAACTTTACATTTAATTGTCAATAAAATAATTTCACTATGCATGCAAAAATAATTGTTCTATTTTCCCTTTGATTCTGGGGTTGAACTATGACAGATATGTTTCTGCATAGTCTCACACAACTGGACATAGTCTCTGATCTAGACCACACAATACAGAACAGGTAAAGTGGGCGATTACACTGGTCATGAGATGATTCTGAAAGCTTCTCTTCACAGATCTCTGACTATATGTCACAGTGGCTCTCATACCCAAACAGAGAGATTGTCTCATGTCATTTCTCGTCTCATAAATCGCAAGTATATGTGAGTGTTAAAACGGATGTTTTAATTGCATCTCTGATTTAAGATTAAGTAGTAAAATGCATCAGACTAACTTGATGCATTGTTTCATGAACCAGTGAAGACTGTCCTTTCCAATTTATGTCAGGACTCAGTCTCAGAAATCCTATATTTTGTACAATAATAAAATATCATTATTACTTTAGCAAAATAACTGGAAGGAAAAACATGCCTCTATTATTTTTAATTGGATTTTAATGTATTTTACTTGTTGCATTATTCATTTTGATATTAATTGGCGATTGAGAGAAAAAAATCTGATAAAATGTATAAACATTGTGTTTTACAGTATATAATTAATAATATATATATGACCAAAGTAGATATTACCTACTGTGTAAATGTACATCATATTTCCCCCTCACCGAAGATTTTGTGTCGCTTCGTTTGGCTAGGTGTTTCTTTCGTGCCACCACACACCACAAGACGCAAGTGCAGCTGTATTGCACATTTCCTGTCTGCAGATTTCGTCTTTCATAACAAGATGTCCTGCTTCTGTCTCATTTGAGAAGATTTTTGAACTTTTCCGCCCATTAGACTGGTTCATGCCAGGCAGTGTGTGGGCCGGGCAAAAGTTATTTCATTTGCTAAATTCTTCTTCCTCTCCGCTCAGGCTTAATGTTTGTGTGTTCATGTGTGTATGAGTGGGTCTCTTTCTGCTCAATGAGACATAGAGCCTCCATGCTGGCGCCCCAGGGATCTCCATGAATAAATGATCTTGCTTTTTTCATTCTTATTCTTTCGTCCCAGAAAAAGACGAGAGAAACTCACTTTGCTTGTATTACGGGGGATGCAGCCAGTAGCTAAAAATACCTCTGACAGAATCTTTGTTGCTAAGGCTTGCTCAGCAACTGCACTGAATGTCACTCCCCCTAGAAAACCCCTCGATGAGGACCATTTCTTTCTGTCACTGGAATAGACGGAGCATTTAGCCGGGTCACGTGCTTTGTCATCATTCCTTTTGCTTTATTACCGCACATTAAAATGTGTGACCAAGGGTTTGGCATACCAGTGCTCATTTTTAGAAATTTGGTGCATTCATTTTATCAAAAATACAGTAAAACAGTAATATTGTGAAATATTATTACAATTGAAAGCAACTGTGTTCTATTTTAATTTGTTCTATTTTAATTCGACTCCAGTCTTCAGTGTCACATTAACCTTCAGAAATGATTCTAATATGCTGATTTAGTGTTACGTAACATTTCTTCTTATTATCAATGTAGTATATCATTTCACTCTAAAAGCCCTTACATCTCTTTTATTCTCTTAAATTCCATTCATGAAAAAAATAGAGGAAGAAATAGCACATTCTTTGGAATTTGACCATAAAGGAACATTAAATGAAAGCTGTTTCTTCCTGTTGTTTATTGATAGATCATTATGGATCTGTAAAACACTCCTCAGAGGCCAAAATTGTCTTTGTATAGACTCTAGTCCTGTCTCGATCAACCTGGATTTGTTTAAAGAAGTCTCAAGAGACATTCAAACTGCTACTCTCATCCTGTACACACACACACACACACACAAACACAGAGAGACAGGTGTAAATAGTACCGCTCAGTACGTGACATTGCCCTCTGGAGTTTGATCAATAAAAGTAATGTTCAGATGTAATGTTTTGGCTTTCTGCATCTAATTTATTTTCTATAGAAACAGAATTGAAAGAGAAATTGATTGGGCAAAATCCAGCATAATGCAACATATGTCAATATTGTTTGTCCATTTTTCCTGGAAATACTGCAAATTTTCAGTATACAAACCCCAAAAGTTTATTTTGTCAACATTTATAGTGCTAGATGACAGACATGGACTAAAAGCCACAACACTCATTTATGGTAAGTTAACGGTATTAGATTCATTAGATCCATTATATATATTTTAAAATCTTCTGGAGAATCTCCCATCCTCCAATGTTTCGCTCAACACAGATTCAGCAAAATGTTGTCATGTAAAGCTTCTTGTGAAGGGCAGATAACTGGTTATCTTGATCACGTATAGTGTCACTAATCTCAGCAGTAATCTTCCCTTCCTCCCTTAGAGATATTTTGCTTTCTCTACACTCAGTACCAGCAGTCAATAAAAAAAAGAGGTTCTTCCGCAGAGAAACTCCCTGTTATCCAAGAAGTGTTATTTATTTTACAGTAAAGGTTAAAAGTAACATTAAGGTACAATTTCAATGGGCCTGACTCAGTTTAAAAACTGGTTTCCAGCTGGTTCCTGTTCTGCAGAACATAAAACACAATTTACGACACGTGAAGTCAGAAACACTTAAACAGGACATTAGCATGGGCTAGCTAGACAGATAAAATAATCAACTAGTTGAGAATGCGGTACCTCTACGCCAATCCATCTGCACGTCATCATGTCACATGCTCATAATGTCTCTAGCTACGTGAGACAACGTCAGCTTGTATGAAGTGTTGATGTGGTTGGCCTTTTCAACCACAGCGCATTAATACCTTACAAGGTCTCTACTGTGTTTGATATATAGCTTGCCCTTTAACCTTGCTCTCACTGTTTTAATCTTGGTTTTAGAGTGTCACAAAAGAGAAAGAGGAAGACAAACCAACATCCCTCACAGAAGAAGAAATTAAAGCAAAAATAGACGACTACAACTCCAAAGTGACGGAGAATGGAATGAAATTAGTGAGTTTTGATTTGTCGACAAAGCATTTACGCTCACAGTGTTGTAATTTGAGGATTCTACTGTGAGAAATGACCTGACTGAAGTTGTTTTGTCATCTTCCAGAGCTCAGATGGCACATATACTGGTTTCATAAAGGTTCACTTGAAGTTGCGCAGGCCCGTGATTGTACTTTCTGTGGACGGGAAGTTAGGAACGTGTTCCTCTTCTGATAGTTCAGATAATCGCACATCCTTCTACCTGCCCAGCGAAACTGTCAAGCAGCTACACATCAGCAGCACCACCACGGTCAGGGAGGTCATCCAGGGCCTGCTGAAGAAGTTCATGGTGCAGGACAACCCACGAAAGTTTGCCCTCTACAGCCAGACCCGTCGAAACAGCCAGGGTGAGCGTTCAAATGAAGACATGTACTTTATGGATAATACTGATGTCATGTATAATACTAATGTGTGGTTTGCTTGTTTTTGTCAGATCTTTTCCAGAAGTTGCCAATATCAGACTGCCCCCTCTACGTGAGGCTGTTAGCAGGGCCTGATCTGGAGAACTTGACTTTTGTACTCAAGGAAAATGAGACTGGTGAAGTGGAGGTGAGCTTTTCTACTCTCTCTAAATTTGTAACTGGCAGAGGTATTTTTACACCATTAAGGACATATTTATGAATAAAAATATTGATTTTAAATAAAAAAAAAGACATAAAAAGTTACACATAGTCCCTTTAGTGTGTATGTAATGTAAATATACTGTATATAGTAAATATTCTGTTTGTATACATACCCTTTTCATTCTTTATCACTGAAACTTTACAAAGAGGCCAGAGGGAAATATATTTATATGTACGGTGTGTAAATATATATGTGTGTGTGTGTGTGTGTTTTTATATATATTTTAACCTGCTCTCTCATAATGTTCTAGTCAACTTTATTTTACAGTGTCCCTGTTACACATCTTAAATGTACTTACTATAATATTAATAATAACAACAGTAAAATATTTATAATTAACCCTTGTAAATCATGTAGCAAATACATATATTTAATAATTATTACTCAGTACTTAAATGTATTATTACACTGTAACAAGGTCACCTTAAAATAAACGGTGTCACCAAAATTCTTGCTATTTTTTTTAAATATATGCCACTGAAATTGTACAAAGCAAAATTAAAAGGTTACTTTTATATATATAATTTATTATATATATATATATATATATATATATATTAATAACTTGCCATAAAAGCCTTCAAACATGATACATAACCCATGCAAGGTTCAGTAGACGGTTCAATTTCAGATAAATCGATTTTCTGGTTATTTCCCGTGTCTGGCCTTACTGAGACATAGTCTTCTGTCTCTTTTTCAGTGGCATGCATTCTCAGTCCCAGAGCTGCAGAACTTCCTGATCATCCTGGAGAAGGAGGAGAAGGATCGCATACGGCAGGTGGAGCAGCGTTACACCGCCTACAAGGAGAAGTTGCAACAGGCTCTATGTAAGGTCGAGGGCAAACCGGGCTAATGTCGGACAGAGACTCGTTCACCCCACTGAGCCAACGCCGGGCCAGCCTGGAGGACCAGCAGCCCAACAGACGAACTCACTAAACCTCCACTCAGGACTTTGTACAAGCTCTTAGCATGGCTATGTGACCTTTAACCCCCAAAGATGGGCAAAAAGGATCGAGACATGACTAAGACGAAGAGGAGGTTGGAACTAAAGAGTAATCCTTCTCTCTGGAAATGGCACACTGTTGAAAGCCCAGGAGTCTATTTCTGGCAGTCATGCTTTTTGATATTGAATGGGATTTGAATCGGTTTCTCTCTTTGTTTTTACATTGACCCCATCTGTCTGTGTCTTTTTATATGCTGCTGCTATTGCTGCTACTGCAAGTGTTACTTAAAGCATGACTTTCCCTTTGGTCTCTCTGCTTGTGTCTACCGCATGTCCTCTGTCAGGGAATATCTATAAGAAAGAGGGAAGTAAAAAAAAAAAAGCACTTCCTGCTCAAAAAGGAAATGGGGAGACTTAAGTTATAAAATATGATGCCTGCAAGATTTCAGACTAATAGTAATTTTGTCCATACACAGTTCATAGACAATTAAAACATGCTACTGTAATAAACAATAAATTATACTCTTTATACTGGAGATTTTCTTACTATAACTATAGTTGAACTGTATTAGTGATCATTTTTCACCCTACAGCTCACAGAGTCAAAATATCTCTATTTAAATATTCAAAATAGCTACACATCTCTATGGTAACTCTGTCGCTGCATCTATAAAAAAAAGTGTTGAAACTGCTCAGACGCTGATATTTTGAGCTCCTCGAGAAATGTGAAATGGCTCAATGGCCCCTCATCCTTTCAGGTGTCCTAGGATAGCATTTAAAAACACTCAGTACTCAGTCTCTTCAGTGGGCCACCAGTTCTCAATGTGCTGGGAGCATCGGTGGATGTGAGGATTGTGGAATGTGGTTATCTGGTAAGCTTTTCTGAATCACGTCAGCTTTAAGCACATAATACAGGTCATAATACATAATAAGGTCAAGTTAGATTAGAGGGCATCTCCTAGATCAGCACTCTTAAATACTCTATGGATCCAAACCACTGCATATCACCAAAGGAAAACAAGTTCCCCATATTTTAATTACAAAGCTATTTGCGAGGCAATATAGAGATATTCCTGATAATGTAAAGTGGAGTCAGGATGTCTATGGTTTGCACACCACTCCTGGTCAACCAGTATGTAAAGTAGTCAATATTATTTTATATAGGGGACATGAGATTGATTTAACAATTTTCCCTTCTTTTTTGTGCTTTGATAATCTGCATTTTATTTTTTTATGTGCATACTTTGGTCTGAAAAATTATGCAGGAGCATGTGAATTGAATGTGTTTGTGACACTGGGGGAATTTTGCATTCTAAAGCACTGAAGCGGTATTCCATATTGGTCTGGAATAATTGTAAACATTTTAATTTAATGTTCAAGGCACTGATGTATCATTTTTCATTTCCCTTAAAAGCATATTTAAGTCCCAATCTTTTAAAGAACCATGTGGTTATAATATTTGACCTGTATGTTAGTAGATGGTACTTTAGAGTCATGCGTTATCATTTGGAACACTGTGGCTGTGCCCATGTTCTTGGCCTGTATATTTTGATTTTGAATTGGTACACCTCCTGGTGGACTGGAAGTCTCACTTCCACCCTTAAGCAAGCGGCAGGGCCTCGTATGTCTGCTCGGACTACTTCTCCCTGACCGCCATGTTCCTGCTGGCAGTGCCTTTAGTCTCCGTGTAGCTTCTTTTGACTGTGTACTGTACATATGCTTTAGATGTCTGGCCCTATAACTCCACGTTGAGAAATTTCACACACATTCAGTGGCAGTATCCAGGTGCTTTCAATGTCAGAGCCATTAAGTCCATGTGGGACTTTTTGGGACCAGTGATTCCAAATGTTGAGGTGTGTGTGAGTGTGTGTGCGAGTGTGCTTGTGTGCATCTGTTTTATTTATTTTTTTGGCTCAGTTTCTGTGTGTGTAAACTTGAATATTTGGACAAGTCAATACTATCGGGCAATCTTTTTTTGTTGTTTCAGAGTATCAAATGTTAAAAAGGTCTATAAAGCTGTAATGTAAATATACTTAAGAATGAAATAAAAGGTCACCCTTTAATGGCAATGAATGTGTCTTTCATTTACAATTAAATCAGTGAGTTAACTAACAAGTATGTAGTTTAAATTATATATAAGAAAAATAGAAGTTTACAAATAATAAATATTTAGTTTAAATTTAAATGAGGCTACTAACTTGAGTTACAAACAAATCCTATAGTTTTCATTTTAGGAGTAATCTTAAAAAGCAGGATAGATGCATAAAATTACATTTGACATTTTTAAACCTTTAATAGTGGTATACTGTAAATGTTTTACTACAATAGTGGAAAATATGCCAACATTTTAAATTTTGCATCACAAAATATTACTTCTGGTGTCCTGTATTATGTGTCAGATTTCATCATTTCTATCTATGGATCAAACACTAGTTTTACATCAATAGTATAGTATTGCACGAGTCATATACAACCAGCAGAGGGAACCCTAATCATACAGTAGTTTAAATGCAAACGCTTTTCTTCAATTGCAAAAGATGTCCAAATATTATTTATAATTAAAAGAAACTGTGGCAGTAGTTGTGATTTTTTTTTTTAGATGTAATGCATGCTATCATAATGTATGTATATGGTATTGTGTAGCAGTATAAAGAAAGCAAGGACACACACTATGTTGTCACAACTATATTGTGTCTAGAATAAATAAGAAATAGCCAACATTAAACCACAGTGCCAAGGGTCAGAGAGTGCACGTGTAGTGCATTGTGCACATTTGTGTACACATGGCACATTACAAGAAAAACAAGTTAGTCCTATTTCAATTGTAAATATAGTTGGAACTGGCTCCACACTTTAAATAAACACTTGGTAAAATCTACCTACAGGTTTAACAGCATGCCCATACTTGGAAAAGTCTGGCAATATTTTAAGGACATCTAGAAACCTTTTAAGTCTCCACAAAAAGACAGCAGTTGTGAGTGTCCATCATAATGTTACAGGGCCCACGTCTGCTACTGAGGGGTCAACCTGAAAACAATGTCAATATGTCATCTGAAGACTCAAATATAGACAGGTCTCAGCTTCCCCTAAGACTGATGGCTAAGAATAGCATACTATGGCCAGGGTCCTGTTGTAAGCACACCTAATTTAGCTTAAAATGTCTCACCATATCACCCTTGTCACCCCTGCATGTGCTCTTCTGCCTATGTTGATCTATATCTGGGCTTTAAAGAGTTTGACAACAACACCAGACTTGCCAAGGCAATTTAAGATATCCAACAAGGCTTAGGATTGTTGTGTTTTGATATTTTCCTTATTTATCCTGCAATAAATCTTGTATCTTTGTTTTGTAGATTGCCATTTTAGCTGTGCTTTCTATTTTTGGCATGTAACATAAAACTTTTTAAGAGATTTAAGGGAAAAAAAATATTCTACTGACTTCTACTGAGTGTTTTTTCCCCATCTTAGGCCATCTTTAGACTGAAAAGACAAAGGACCAATAGACATGTGTGTCCACAATAATGAACATCATTTTGCGAAATAAAACTGGTTAAATTATGCAAATAGTGAAAATAAAAATATATATAACAGCAAAAATATCAACATTGTTTAATGACATCACTCTAATTTGATGTCATTATTTTCTTACGTCTATACAAAACACTGTTTAATGTAATTTACAAACATTTTTAAAAATAACATTTTTTAAGAAAGAAAAAGAAATGGTTTTGAGTGAGAGTTTCAAAATGTATATCTAGCTAAATGTAGCCTATATCTAGCTTATAGATAACAGTAACATAACTAAAAGCCAAACGATTTAATGGGGACTTTATTATAATTCTCCATTTAATTTCATCCTTCAATTCAGTCGAAAACATGCGAATATAAAAAACTGAAGAATCATTTCTTTGTCATCACGACAGATATCACATTAATAATACATTTTCAACTCGAAACGTTCCTGTTTTGTTTTGTTTATGTTTGGATTTAAACTGCCACTTCAGTCAATAGCCCCATTTTGGCTCAATAAGCACTTCCTTGTATCAGGTCAATTGTTCAACCTTGAAACTAAAGGAAGTTTGAGCCAGAATGGCGTTGTTTTGGCCGCGCCCCATCAAGCAGTCTCCTCGCGAGCCCTGTTTGATGACGTCGCGCTGGGCGAAGCTGAAGACGCTCTTAGCAACAAGCTAAGAAACCACACATCTCGATGGGCTCGATTACGGGACGGAACGCGCATCCAAAACACTCAGACGATTTTTGAGACAACTTGTTTGAGATTATGAGTTTATTTGGAGTTCTTGTTTTTATAATGAAAGCAAGTTAGACCTGTAGCGTTACTACCCGGAAAAGAGGAAACACTAGCCTGAGCTTTAGCTGGCCGCTGGACCGTATGCTCGGACTGGGATGACTCTTCTGTTCAAATCAACAACACGATATTCAGGAGAGGGAAAGAGTGGAGGAAGTCGACATCCGTTTCATTTTTGGACTCAGTCTAATTGTACTTTAGGGAGGCATTTTGTGGTCACGGACACGTATTTGTTTCCCCTGCGACTTTGAATCTTCATCAGCATTCTGATGCATTTGTTAAGTTTTATTAGTATTGCTACAGGTTCGGACTTTTCTGTCTCTCTTCATCATTCTGGAAATATAGACACTTCTATTACTTCTTTTCCATGGTTGTAATACAGGTGGTCAAACTGATAAGCCTCATGAAAACAGCTTAAAGGGGATCATGTCTGAACCCTTCAGCACTGTGAAGTCGTCTCTCTAGCCTCTCTGGACATTAACAAGCTTCCTCTCGGATATAAGACTCTGATGATATTTTGGTCATCTCACTAGAAAAACATTGCATTATTGTTTTGGATGGATCTCGCTTTAGTGAAAATATTTTTCAGCGGAAAAGGAAATATTTGATGTTGATTACATGCAACTATGATGATATTGAGCAGAAAACCAGATGGCCCCATAACTGCAGGTAACGTTAGGTATTCATTATGAAATGCAATACCCTGCTCTGTAACTTTGATATTGGTTCACTTAGCAAGTGAAGACTATTTTGAAGACAGCCAATTCATTGTTTTAGGAATACGCTGGCGGTGGTGTTAACAATTCTTGGTTAATGTACTGAAGTAAGAAAATGTCACAAGCCTGGAACTACATCCTGTTTATTCCTGATGAAGTTGTCACATGTACATCAGCAATGAAAATGCACGGGACAGTGGGAACAATAGCCTGTACTGGCCACATTGTCTTCATATGGTCAGTTTATTGAATTGGCATCTAAAAAAGTGATAGTAAGGGGGTCTAAATGCTCAATAAGTTCATAGTATGTATTGTTTTGATAAAAATATTTAAACTCTTTAGTGTTCATTTCATCAACCATTTTGTAATGCAGCCTAATGAAGATTTCGTGTTTTTGATGCAACGAAAGTCATTGGGGTCCAAAACAACATTGTAGCATGGTATATAGAGAAAAAAAGCAGTTGAAACATTATTCAGATAATTTATGTTCCACAAACGAACTAAAGTTTACTCGCCCTCATTTTTAAGTAAAATGTCCCTTCAGGCAAAAGTGGTCTAGGTCATTAATAAGCTTTAATAACATAATCGTTCAGAGTTGTGGAAACTGCTGAAACTGAAATGAGTCATGAAGCCTGGTTTAATAAGAAGACACCTGTTGTGTAATGTGCTCAAGAAACTATCTGACGCACCTGCGACTTGGTTACATACCTCCCTAAGGGGATTTGTGTTTCTCAGATAGGAACCCTGTTTTTTTTTCGGTCTTTCTTATGTTTTTGTAATAGATTGTTTTATATGTGTAGTGGGTATATTGGATGATTAAGTGACAAGTATGTTTTGTTTGTGGATCCACAACCTAACCCAACCTCTTTTCCTGTTTGCATTTCTCCACAGCTCGCCACGGGGACGGTCTGTATGATTCCTACATGCGCACCGATCACATTGTGAACCAGGACGCTGATGTGAATGGACAGAGTCCCTCTGGGCTCCCCCCTCTCCCCAAACACACTGTAAGTCCTGACTTCCTGTTCCCCAGACCTAGTGCCAGGACTTTCTAGGGGTCATCTTTCACAGCATTCTTTCAGTGCGCCCTAGATGAAAATATTTCCCTAGTGCTCGCAGTTCTAAGGAACATTATTCAGTTCTAGAGAACAAGTGCGATTGAAAATCCAAATTCACTATGAAGTCTTGTACGAGTAAGCCGGTTTTTCAATCCCTGCCCCTCCAACTCAATATGTCCGGGTGGGTTTTAGTTGAGCACATGTTCTGCTGCCACTTGTGCATCTTGGAATGTTGCGTATTTAGACAAGCCTTCCTCCCACTTTCTGATAGTGGTAGTTCCATCTGCAGCACATCAAGTCTGTTTGTTGTCCCTCACAGTGTGTGTATTCCATGAAAAGCCAGTGCTTTTATTTGCCAACGAATAAAACATAACTGTATCAAATATCTGTTTTTATGCTGAGCAAATACACTAAAAACAATATCATGTTTAAACTGGACAGATTAAGCCTTGCAATGGGGTGCATGTAGCTTACAGTGTGATACGTCATCATGGGACCGGTGATGATGAAGGATATGATAATCCGATAATTCCCCACTACTATTATGCAATAAATAATTCGGTGTATGTGTTGTACCTGGTGAATTGTTTTTATTTTAAGACTGTATCACTCTTGTACTGCTATTATACTGCACTTCTAAGAGAATGAATTGGTAATTAGCCTCTGCAAATAATTAACTCTTAATTTGTCTACCATAAACATTCAATAAACAACTTTGATTTTCTGCCATTTGGGGTACAAGCAATCTTAGTAGTTTCCAGAATTTTCACTCGTTTATTTACCTAGCTTCCCACAAAGCAGATTTAATTTAGGTCACCTACTCCTTGTTGAGTCAACCAAGCTTTTTTGGTTGTAATTGAACAGCTGGTGCATTTGGCTAGTCTCTACAATATCCTTCAGTCCCCAACACACTGGTTTCTATTTTTGTCTCACTCCTTGAACCTGCCTTTCCATGCCCCTTCCCCCTCCAAAATGATTGGCACCGTTTATTTGACACTTAATATTTGTATTCATTTTAATTTTATTTAATACATAAGTGACCTAATTGTTGGTCCTTTGCTTTCTTCTTCTTTTGCTGTATGCAGAGCCAAACAAGCTATAGCTTGGGCTTAACTATAAATCTTTGATAGTGGAATCTTGAATGTGAATGGGGACTAGGAGCAGTCATGGTGCATTAAACATCCTGAATGTGAAAGATAGTTCCTCTGTTCCCCTTCACTCAGGGAAGCCCACTGTGACTGGCATAAACTACCGCTATTTATGACATGCTTATTTTGTAAGGCAAAGGTTCAATGCATATTTAATGATATAGTTGGGTCTAGTGGCGATTCCTCATCCATGGCAAGAATTCTTTCCAAGCGTTGTCCTGAAAGTATGCGAGGGAACTGAAGTCATACACCCTTTCTAAAAGAACATTTCCATGTTGCTTGGTTTTCCCTGTCTACTGAAATGCAGTTGATTCTGTATATAAATTGCATTTCTGTGCTTTGCAATCAGCATGATTTTAGGTCTTAACAACTAGACTCTTGCTTTCGTGGGTTTTCCTGGGAGTATGAAAGTAACCTCCTGTTCCACCATTTTTCAGTTCACGTTACAGTCATACTGAAGAGACTGTCTGGCATTCTCTGTCGCTGCAATGATCACTCATGCATCAAACAACCCCACTGGTCATATATTATTCCCAGGGTTACTAGATGGCTGATCAATTCTGCACGTTTGTGTCATTGATTGTTTAACAGTGGTCTGATAAAACCTCAGAGTTACAGTACATTGATTGTTCAGTTGTATGCATAAGCCAGAAGCTATAATAGGAAGATTGTAAAAATTCCCTCAGCTAGCTTTGTCTTACAAATTTTTTTTTGGCAAATTGTTGAAATGTCTCTTTCCTTTTGAAGGGTGTCAACAAGCCTACAATGAAGGATCACCAAGCAATCCGAGGAGGACAGATGAAGGTGAAATATATTTACGAGGACACCTACAATCGCAAACTCAATGGTGTGAGCCAACATAATGGCACAAGCCAAGTACCAGCTAAGTCCCAAGCTGCAGTCTCCAAAGAGAGAAGCGTGGACAGCAACAGCTCTGTGAAATCCTCAGAGAGCTCAACAAAAGTCACAAAGCTGGGCAGCCCAATGACCCCAGAACAAGCTATCAAGCAACACCGACAGCAACTGACTACCTTGGAGCAGCAGGAGATCCACAACTATCCTGAGATCTACTTCCTGGGACCAAATGCCAAGAAGAGGCAGGCAGTAACAGGGGGTACCAACAACTGTGGTTATGACGACGACCAGGGAGGATACATCCACGTGCCTCATGATCACCTTGGCTTTCGCTATGAGTTCCTCAAGGTGATCGGCAAAGGTAGTTTTGGACAAGTGGCGAAGGTGTATGACCACAAGTTACAGCAGCACCTTGCTTTGAAGATGGTGCGTAACGAGAAGCGCTTCCATCGGCAAGCCGCTGAGGAGATCCGAATTCTGGAGCACCTGAAGAAGCAAGACAAGACCGGCAGCATGAACGTAGTTCACATGTTGGAGAATTTCACCTTCCGCAACCACATATGCATGACCTTTGAGCTGCTCAGCATGAACCTGTATGAGCTCATCAAACGCAACAAGTTCCAGGGTTTCAGTCTCCCGTTGGTACGCAAGTTTGCACACTCTATTCTCCAATGCCTGGAGGCTCTCCATCGCCATAAGATCATCCACTGTGACCTGAAACCAGAGAATATATTGCTTAAGCAGCAGGGCAGGAGTGGGATCAAGGTAATTGACTTTGGCTCCAGCTGTTTCGATCACCAGCGTGTCTACACATACATCCAATCCCGCTTCTACCGTGCTCCCGAGGTCATCTTGGGATCGCGATATGGTATGCCTATAGACATGTGGAGCTTTGGTTGCATTCTGGCAGAGCTGCTTACAGGATACCCTCTGTTTCCTGGTGAAGATGAAGGTGACCAGCTGGCCTGCATGATGGAGCTACTAGGTATGCCACCTCAGAAACTGCTGGAACAAGCCAAGCGTGCCAAGAACTTCATCAGCTCCAAAGGCCACCCACGCTACTGCACGGTCAGCACACTTAGCAACGGCACGGTAGTCCTCAACGGGAGCCGTTCTCGCAGAGGAAAATTGCGAGGTCCCCCAGGAAGTAAGGAGTGGGGGTCGGCCCTCAAAGGCTGTGATGACTCCACGTTCATTGACTTTCTGAAGAAGTGTTTGGATTGGGACCCTAGTACTCGAATGACACCAGTTCAGGCTTTAAGGCACCCCTGGCTCTACAAGAGACTGCCCAAGCCTGCACCTGGTGGCGAGAAATCCATGCTGCCCAAACGGATCACAGAGCACAGCACCACTTTCCCTACTATTATCTCCAAGGTACCCCCAGTCATGGGCTCAACCAACAACAAACTGCGGACCACCATGATGGGTGACTCCACTGGAAGTATACCCTTTCGTACAGTGCTGCCGAAGCTTGTTTCATAGAGATTCCTTAGCTTTTCAGGGATAAAGACACATTTGTAGCCATTTTAGAAGTGGATTTTTTTCCCCCCCGTTTCTTTTCTAAATGAGTGTCAAAGCTCACTGTTGAAATTTTTAATGAAGTGTAGCAAGCAAAAACTTTTATACAACTATACTGTTTTTATCAAATGGCCTTCAGAGTGTGAAATTCAAAATTGACATCAGGGCTTACACTTTGGTCTTGAATCCAGTGCTGTTGATTGAGGTGGGTGAAATTTTGATGCTGTTGCTCGCTCCTTATCCTGTCTTCTCTGAAGTTTACACTACTTCTGCTCAGACAAATGCACAACTTTTTTAACTCTAAGTGCTGTCTTCTGTGAATCTTAGTATACTTTTTAAGGGCTTAGAGTGAATTTTCTGGCTCTAATTGTCAGATAAAACATCTTTTAAATGTCTATTTGGTGTTCTAAAGGCCATGTTATCTTATCTTGGTCTAAAGTAGATCTGCACATTTTCTAATTTTATTCTATTTTAACAGTATCTTCCCCAGTCAATTGCATCCCATTTCTTTCCTCGACCGTTTATTTCTTTTGAGTATCTGTTGCTTTGAATATCTTACCATAGTAGAACAAGATGTAAGAAAGTTTGTACTTGTTGGTAAGTGGTGGAGTTATTCTGGTCACAATGCTGCCTGATGGCCATGCCCATTCCTGGAAGGTATTTGGGAAAGACTTTTGCACGGGTGTTGTAGGAGCGTGTTTTTATCAGTGCTATCTTGAAAGATATTGGTCAGGTTTCAATCGAAGGCAACAGGCAGTATCACGTGTTTGCTTGTAAACAGCAGTATGTATTTCCCTGAAGCTGATTGTGGGGGAAGGGAACTGCACGTTTCCAGTATTTTCAATAGCAGTGTGCTGTTTGCACACATCGATGATAGATACCAAACTGCCAGTGCGAGGACTTCATAAACATGTTCAAATTACGAGATAACAAAAGGTGGATGACATGCATCTTTCAGGATTCAGTTTTTTTTATAGCATTTTATATAATGTCTCATTTTTATTATGTTTGAATTAATATGTGTGAGAAGATAAGGGGAAAAAACACGACTAAAAAGAGAGTGCAGGGTAGTTCCCATCCCCCAAAGCTCACCATCAGGACACAGTGTGGTAAATTTCCAGTGACTTGTTGATTAGCCCGGAATATCTCTTTATAGAGACCTATTTTGTTCCCTTTTCACTCTTAGGTTTACAAGAGAATCTTGTTCTTTATACAGTAGAGCACACAGCACATTCACCCTCCCACAATGGCACTGCTCAGTGTCTGAACTTTGTCTGAGTATTTGTCCACGTGAAACCCCTGTGTGGACAAACAATAATGCCGTTGGTTATTCGGAAGGTTGTTTTATGATCTAATGTAAGCATGATTAATGACATTGCCTCACTCTTTTTAGCTGTGAATTGAACACTGAATGCTTAGAAGCTAATTTTTTCAAGGGAAGACACTAAACTGCTGAAGGACTGTGAAAATGAATGGTGCTTAACCCATTGGCCCTTTATGTTTGTAAAGCACACTGTTTGCTACCTGGACCAAGGTAAGAATGAGGAATTCAGGCAAGTTGTCGCCAAAGTCCTCTTAATTGAAAAAAAAACATGTCTTTTCACACCTCTTCTCAGGTTGAAACCCTTTTGGGGGTTAATGGACATTTATATATGATTCCACACATTTAGCAGGTGTAAAGATGATTTGACATTTAATAAAGCTAGGTTTCAGGAAAAAAAAAAAAACAGTATAGCTTTAGAGATGTTGGTGCTCAAATAAAAACTACAAACCCCAGGCCTCTATAGTGTCTGTCTAGTCATAATCATTTTTGGGTTCATTTGTGGTCTCCCGCAAATTTTCAGTCGCTCTGTTTCTTTTTGGAATACATCAGGGGAAAGTAACCTTTTAAAATGGTTTAGTGTTTTTCTACTTTTCTTGTGAAATCCTTTTTTTTTGCTCAAGAGATCTCTACCACAGCAATAACAGCATCATGCTCCACATCTGTCTACTTTGCTTTGGATTTCCTGTCTGTTTATCATGAATTTTTCACCAAAGCACCCATTCACATGGCTGTCTCTCCTTGGTTCGCCTCAGTGTGTAAACCCCTTGGTTCGGAGGACTCTAGTCTTGTGCCTTTAATTGAACACACTTGACTAAATAATGAAGTCTCAGCACGGGATGACTAACGTTTCACTTCCAGCTTTACTGGTCAGGTTTTTGTATTGCTTTTTATTTCATCCTTTTATAGAGTTTTTACTTGTTTTAAAGAGAAGTGAAAGACATAAAGATTAATTTTCCTTTAATACCCTTTGTCTGTTGACTGTTGGCCATGTGGTTCAAAGCATGATAGTCACAGAGCGCATGAAAATAAGTGATAAAGTGAAATAGGAGTAAATGAAATGTTTTAAATAATGACGAAGTGTGTAAGTAACCAAATGAGCTTGTATTAGTTTCTTTTTCTAAAAAAGAGAAATAAAAAAATCAATTTTACCATTGTTTTGTCTGAGACTTGTCATTTATCGATCCTTTTTCGTAAATGTTCTATCCCCTGGATGTTGGCATGAAAATAAAATTCATTGTATCTACTTTGTAAATCCATGTTATAGATCTTATTGCGAATCATTTATGAATGTAATAGAATTTTTCTTTAAACCCTCGTTTTTTTTCCCCCTTTTACATTGATCTATTACTCTCAGATGTTACAATATGGGAAAATTAAATGCTGTTACATGTGTTTCAGCATGTTGTCCAATTTTAAATGACAGAAGGAAGCATTCCTCCATAGTGCAGTACACAGCTGCAGGGAGTTCTGAACAATAATGTTTGAGTGTTATTCCAAGGCAAAGTTTACTCAACAAACAGGCACTTGAACACACCTATGAAATATAATGATTTATGCAGGAATCTTCTAGAACTTCTAGAAGTCAGAATTGCTCTTTGTGTGGATGTTATAACTGTCTTATGGGAAGTATTTAAGTGGTGGCTTGTCCCTTTGGGTATTCACCCACTACAGATGGGTGCATCATGTAGGTTTTTGACTGCATGTCTGCACAGAATGTAACAGACTAATGTTTTGACTTTTCCTCTCATTCACTTTTCCAATCGTATAGATCCACAGTTATAGATCCAAATGTTAAAATTGGCTTTGTTGAAAGTTCTCGGTAGAATATCCCAGACACCAAAGTAGGTCATTCGGGCAAAGTGATGTGGAGAAATAACAGGATACTTGTAAACAGTCACAGGAGGTCTGGAGATATTCAAAATTGGACACTGTTTCTCCATGAGTAGAAATATGAAAGTATTTTTGTTAGACTCGGATTTACAGCCTTACTGAAGCTTGTCAAAACTTTCGGCAGCTGCAAAGAGGGCAAACTGGTCAGTTGGTGTATTTGCATATGATGAGGTCATAAACTTGCCGCAATATTTACATGTTTGAGGTGGATGTGTCCTGTGTGGAAACAAAATGAAAACTTACTTCATCCTCTTTTTATGTACCAACATCCCAATAAGTCATGATATAAATTGTGAAGTTGGTGTTTCTGATGATCTTGGTGTATTTGGCAGCCAATGTGTTGTCAAGACTCAAAAATATTCCAACATAATTCTCAAAACACTTAAGGAATTCAATTTATGACATAGTTATAACTACTTTATTGAATGTACCTTTCTCCTTTATCTTTCACTCAATTCAGATTTTCCTGAACAAGTTTTAAAACCCACAAAAGCATAAATATCTTTTGTTTTTTATCTTTTAAAATGAAACCAGAAAACTTTTCATTTCAGCTTATGCTATGTTCAGTTTAGCAGCTGAAGCTAGCCTGCATTCACAGTGAAATTCGTTCTAATATTGCATGATTTATTTTTCTTTAGGTTACCAATGCAAATGTTTATCAAACAGTTTTCAGGGTAGGCATAGTGTCCAGATATGTCCCATTTTGCATCCGCCATTTTGTAGGGAAATGAGTGTGAGAAATGTGTTCACTCTGAAAAATTCAAAGAGATGTACGTTGCCTCAATGTTGTTTCAGCTTTAGTCATAGTTTTCGCTACCCTAAGCTAATGTGCTACATGTGCTAAAGCTAACAACAATGATGTGTATAATTTATCTGCTGGAAAACTGTGAATGTCTTTAATGTACAAATACCACTTTTTGTGGTATATATTTGAGATGATATACCCTTTGAAATTTTGTAGTTAGATATCCAAGTTCATAGCTTAGCTGACATCAATGAATTGAGACATGCAACATGCATATGGGATTAATCAGAGCAGGTGTGTGACTGCCTGAAACAAGTCATGACCACCTCTTCACCAGTCTTCAACATGTCCAAACAGGCTCAGAACAACAGTGCATCAAGGTAGCCACTCGTATCTCATCAATCTCATTGAGATTTTAGAATGACATGGTTGATTTAGCCTCACAAACCTGTCCTGCTAGAGGAGAGCAGATTAAGTCAATCTCATTAAGGATCCAACACACTGAACATCTGACCCATATGGACTCATTGGTGGCCAGGCACAGTGCGAATGGTCCAAGTAGTCGCATCCTCCCTCCCTTCTCCTGTTGCGTCAGGAACAGCCTTCCAGACTAAGGGTTTTACGAAGACTTAGTACTTTGGCCATATGGAGCCGTCACAGGGGTTTGTAGGCCAGCCACAGTGATGAGTGTGTGAGCTTTCATTAATGCTACAAAGGTGTATGATGACGAAGTTCATTTGTGAGAGAAAAGGACATACAAGTGTGTTTCCTCGACTCAGATGTTTTTATAATACACGCAAAAGAACGACACTTGTATAACTTTTTTTATTTTTATTTTTATTTACTTAATAATTTTAAAGCAGCAGGTTTCCTCACTTTTTGAAAGTAAGCCAAGTGATCACTTTTTACAGTATACCTTCTGGAATAGCCTATATGATTCGTTCAAATTCTGCGTAGCAAGCTCTAGGATGTGAAAAAGTGGTTCTATTGCATGTATTACAAAACATCTGATTCATGGAAACACACTTGTATGTAATTTGTATTTTCATGCAGATACATTTGTGTGGCTTTTCTCAGGAAGAGACACTCCAGAGATGTTATACAGAGTTTGAACATTATTTCATGAAACCATCCAACACAAAATGAATCAAAACAGCTGTTATGATGCAGAGACTTAGGGTAGTTCAACAAGTGAAAACCTCAAGAAAACTGTCCTTTTTGTTTATTCATTTTGTAGTCACGCGCTTCGTGCTTTTGCATGCCTCTTTAGTTTTAAGTGAATGCACCATTTTTAGAGAATGTTATTGGCTTTTGTGTGCTTTGGTTTCAATATCCCATGCTTGGTCTAGACACACAAGAATGCACCCATTGACTCAAATTGTATCTTCCCAATCAGTTAGTTCAGAGGATTTATACACTTTTTAGCTTGAGGTGACCTAATGAAAGACTCTGAAATGGAACGATTGAAAACAAACAGATCTTACTGTATGCCCACCTGGATCTGAGTAGCAGTCATATTGACGTCTTTCAACTTAGTTGAATGAAATGCGTCAATGCAAAATGAGTCACTGATGCATCATAAAGTTTTCACACGCTGTTGTTGCTGACTATTTTCTCATAAAAAAGCTCTTATAAAACATCGCCCTGTGATTATTGTGACAGCAGTTGTGAGAGTCGACCACACAGGTCTACTTTAGCTGGTAAAACTGGCCTTTATGGAAGAAGGTTGTTTATCGAGAATTAAGGCTGTACAACAGGCCTGGGAAGTTCTGGCTTATAGAAACTCTTCAGTGAATGGATTGACAAGCTCGCTAAACATGAACCATCCATCTGCGGTATGTGCTACCTGACCAAAAAAAAAAAAAAAAAGTGAATCTGCTTATTGCATGTCTTTGTTTCCATTCTGATAATGTTTCGAGAAGTTCGAGTTTCGCTATTGGGTTGAGATGATACTTGACATTAAAGTGAAATCTTGCAGAAATCCCCCTCACAAAAGCACTTGTGGAATCGCAGTCCAACACATGTCCACACAAGCTGCACACAGGTCCCCACAACTGCGGTGGCAAACAGTTTTGAAAGGTGGGGCTGCATTTTAGGAACATTTGTCCCACAACCCGAACATTCCACATTCCAGCGCAGCAGCCAGAGCCTCAGTAACAGCAGCACTGCTCTAGGTTCAGGACGGGCCAATGACTGACACACAGACGTGGAAAAGCTGGCTATACTTATGATGAGTGTGGCCTACTTATATTACCCCAGCAACAAGTCAAATAATTCACCCAAGCAATCAAAAGAAAGTAAGTCAAAATATATTATTATTATTATTTTAATAATTATTTCAATGTAAAGGAAGTACATTTTTAGCATCACCTAATTTGTAAAACTTTTGACTGAAATTGAAACAATAGTGTTAATCACAAACAAAATGCACTGAGCAAAACTATACAATAACTGTGTTATATCAACCCTTGACTTGTCAGTCTCCATACCAAAAATTGTAATGTACCAAAATAAGTGTCGTCATTCAGTCAATCCTGAATCATTTTGAACAGACGAGTTGCTGTAGACCAGAACTTCCCAGGCCTGGGGCCTGTACGATGAAGCCGGTTTAGGTGGCTATAGTTTCAGTTTAGTTTGCGCCAACATTGGGTTTTAGGCTAACCTGGTCCGGGGCAGGTTATGTTTCAGGTATGAGGTTGCAAACCGAACTTGGACCAATCAGCTGTGAGCAAAGTGACACATGTCTGACGCGATAAAGCCACTCCACCTGTTTCTATTAAAGGTCACTACACAGCGAATGATTTTAAAAGACAAAATCATGGCTTTTAGTAAATAAATTTGTCTGATTTAGACATTTTTTCTGTATATTACACCCTAAAACGATCTCACATGTACAATTTCAGTTCATGTTTTATTATTACACAGATTTTAAAGGAGTAAATATATAAAGCTAATATAAATATGCTTTAGAATCAATAAATGAAGCTACAAAATGACAACATATTAACTAAAATGTTCAATTCTATCTATACCTTTATCAATAAACTAACTTCACAACTTTTACTTGCACTGATGTACAGTAACGAGACTTTCTTTTATGTTTCCTCTTTCATAGACAGCTATTTTCTTCTTGCTGTGTAAATTTGTTTAAATTCTTAATATTTTAATACTTTTATTTAATAAGTGAATTGCGCTACTTCTCTTGCGAGAAATTCATTTAAATGAGTTTTGAATGAGTTTCACTGTTTCTCGGCATGTGATTGGCTGTTCGCTCGCTACACAAGCCTGAGTTGACAGAGAAAGTTGATGATCAGCATCATGGTACCAACAAAGCCTGGGTTGGATTGGTTTGGTTTTGTCAACTCGAAACTAATCCTGCAACCCTGAGTTTGTTCAGCTACCACCATCATTGTACAGGCCCCTGTTGTGCAACTTTAACTCTATCTAAACAACCTTTCATAAATACCAGTTTTATCATCTAAAGTTTAAAGTTCTTTAATGTTGTCATTTTAATTGTT